GCCACATTCTTCACATTTGTAGGGTTTCTCTCCAGTATGAATTCTCTTATGTTTCATAAAAGTTGAGAGATTGTTAAAAGCTTTGCCACATTCTTGACACTTGTAGGGTTTCTCTCCAGTATGAATTATTTCATGTTTTCTAAGGGTTGGGGACTGGCTAAAAGCTTTGCCACATTCTTCACATTTGTAGGGTTTCTTTCCAGTATGAATTATCTTATGTTTTCTAACACCTGAGAAATGACTAAAAGCTTTGCCACATTCTTCACATTTGTAGGGCTTCTCTCCAGAATGAATTACCTTATGTGCAGTAAATTTTGAGCGCCACTTAAAAGCTTTGCCACATTCTGGACATTGGTAGGGTTTCTCTCCAGTATGAATCCTTTTATGTGTAGTAAGATTTGAGGACTGGTTAAAAGCTTTGCCACATTTTTCACATTTGTAGGGTTTCTCTCTAGTATGAATTATCTCATGTTTTCTAAGGGTTGAGGACAGGCTAAAAGCTTTGCCACATTCTTCACATTTGTAGGGTTTCTCTCCAGTATGAATTCTTTTATGTCTAGTAAGGTGTGAGGACTGCTTAAAAGCTTTGTCACATTCTTTACATTTGTAGGGTTTCTCCCCAGTATGAATTCTTTTATGTTTTGTAAGGGTTGAGAGATTATTAAAAGCTTTGCCACATTCTTCACATTTGTAGGGTTTCTCTCCAGTGTGAATTATCTTATGTTTTCTAACACCTGAGAAATGATTAAAAGCTTTACCACATTCTTCACATTTGTAGGGCTTCTCTCCGGAATGAATTACCTTATGTGCAGTAAGTTTTGAGGACCACTTAAAAGCTTTGCCACATTCTTCACATTTGTAGAGTTTGCCTTCAGTATGAATTATCTTATGTTTAGTAAAGGTTGAGAACCATCTGAAGGCTTTGCCACATTCTTCACATTTGTAGAAATCCTCTCTAGTATGAACTCTCTTATGTTGAATTAAATGTGAAAGCATGAAAAACATTTTGCCACATTTTATACATTTGAAAGTTTTCTTTTTAGTGTGTCTAATCTTATTTCTACTTGAATTTGAATAGTTATGAAAGACTTTCATATGTTTTTTACACTGAAATATTTTTCTCTGGGTAGTTGATGAACATTGATTAAGTTTATTATAACCTCCTTTGGGCATCTTATCCTCATTCACACTTTTACAGTTTCTTCTTAATTGTAATTTCTCATGGCCACATCTCATGTATGTTCTCAGTATTACTTTTTGGAAACAATCTTTAATGCTCTGCTCTGGCCGAACGTCTTGTGTAAAATGAGAACACATAGCTGAAAGAAATGAAAATAAATTATTCCACTTGCTAGACTCAGATAAATATATTTTACAAATCTAACTATAAAATTACAGAAACCACATAAGCAAGATGGTGCAGCAAAATAAGACAGCCCTAATTTCTTCACAGACATAAATATAACAAAAACATACTGACCAAAATATATTTGAGGAAAATTTATAAATGAGTTAAGTGTGTGCAGTACCCCAAGTAAGCGCAATGCAAAGAACCACATAGAACGAAAGAGAAGTCTATTGTAGTTTCCCAACTCAGCTCTTCCTGCTTCCCAAAGTAACAGTGTTTTTCAAAGTTAATTGCTGGCTGGAAATGGCAGCTTACACCTGTAATCCCAGCACTTTTGGAGGCCAAGGCAAGTGGATTTAAACTTGGAGGCTGAAACAATGAATTTAAACTATGCCTTAGAACAAATGGACCTTTTTTTTAAAAAAAAAACCTGAGCTCAAGAGTCCAAGACCAGCTTGACTTTTTTTTTTTCCCCCCACCTGAGATCAAGAGTTCAAGACCAGTCTGGTCAAAATGGAAAAATTGCATTTCTACTAAAAATTCAAAAATTAGCCATATGTGGTGGCACATGTCTATAGTTCCAGCTACTCAGGAGGCTGAGGCAATCACTTGAATTTGGGACCTAGAGATTGCAGTGAGATGAGATCTTCCTACTGCACTCCAGCCTGAGTGACAGAGCAAGACTGTCTCAAAATAATAATAATAATAATAATAACAATAATTTGCCAACTCCTGGTTTCTTTTTAAAGACAAGTAAAATAATGGCACATACATATTTATTTCTAGCTTCTATGGGCTTTTGTAGAAACTGGCTTTTGTCTCTCATGACATAAAGTGCTGGGAAAAATGATGGCATACTTTAAAATGACAACTTTAGTCTGCTGAGACCAAAGTTAAATGTTATAGCAGTAGAGACTACAGTGCCACAGGGGGGAAAAAAATTGATGTAGCAAGTGATTATTGAGAAGAAACATGAATAATGTTCTTTAGCTAAAACAAATAAATAAAAATAAAAACACAAAATTTCAGATAAGATGCATTCTAAGAACTCTTCTGAAAGACTCCCAGAATTTCTAGCCAAGACAGTTGGTTTCAGACTATCCCAGGACAAGGCTACATTATGAAGACTGTAACAGATAGCTTTCTTGATGTAAAAATTTTAATCAATGATTATAATATATATAAAATACTAGGGCAACATGGCCCAATAAAAAAATACATAAAAATTTTAGAAAGCAATCATAAAAATATGAAGATAATTTAAAGATTTTCAAATAAATTGAATAATACTTAATGAGAGAAATAGGAACTCAGACCATTATTAAAAAATTAGAAAATGTGAATAACTTTTCTCCTATGGCCTGAGGTATTTCATGAAAATGGCTTCCTATTCACCTAAGCCAGAGAACACCACAATATTACGCTAAACAAGGGGTTTATAAGAGCTATTGTTATATCAGACAAAATAAACTTTAAAGCAACAGCAGTTAAAAAAGACAAAGAATGGCCGGGGCACGGTGGCTCAAGCCTGTAATCCCAGCACTTTGGGAGGCTGAGGCGGGTGGATCACGAGGTCAAGAGATCGAGACCATCCTGGTCAACATAGTGAAACCCCGTCTCTACTAAAAATACAAAAAATTAGCTGGGCATGGTGGCACGTGCCTGTAATCCCAGCTACTCAGGAGGCTGAGACAGGAGAATTGCCTGAACCCAGGAGGCGGAGGCTGCGGTGAGCCGAGATCGTGCCATTGCACTCCAGCCTGGGTAACAAGAGCAAAACTCCGTCTCAAAAAAAAAAAAAAAAAAAAAAAAAAAGACAAAGAACAACACTGTACAATGGTAAAAGGCTTTGTCCAGCAGAAAGATATCAAAATCCTAAACATATATGCACCTAACAGAAGATCCCAAATTTATAAAACAATTACTAGAAGACTTAATAATTGAGATAGACAGCAACACAATAATAGTTGGGACTTCAATTCTCCATTGATAGCACTAGACAGTTGATCAAGAAAGTCAACAAAGAAACAACGGATTTAAACTATACCTTGGAACAAACAGATTTAACAGATATATACAGAACATACCAGTCAACAACTGCAGAGTACACATTCTATTCAACAGTGCTGAAACTTTCTCCAAATAGACCATATAATGGACCATAAAACAAACCTCAATAAATTCAAGAAAACTGAAATTACATCAAGCACTCTCTCAGACGACAGTGGAATAAAAATGAAATTCAGCTCCAAAAGGAAACTTCCAAATCATGCAAATACACGTAAATTTAAAAACCTGCTCCTGAATAATTATTGCATCAAATACAAAATTAAGATGAAAATTTAGAAATTCTTCAAACTCAACAAAGAAAGTGACACAACCTATCAAAACCTCTAGGATAGAGCAAAGGTGGTGCTAAAAAGAAAGTTCATAGCCCTAAACACCTACATCAAAAAAACTGAAGGAGCACAAACTGACACTCTTAAGGTCACACTTCAAGGAACTAGAGAAGAAACCAAACCCAAACCCAGAAGAAAAAAAAAATCAAAATCAGAGCAGAGTAAAATAAATTGAAACAAGCAAACAAAAAAACCAAAAGATAAATAAAACAAAAATCTGGCTCTTTAAAAGATAAATACCATGCCGGGCGCAGTGGCTCAAGCCTGTAATCCCAGCACTTTGGGAGGCCGAGGCGGGTGGATCACGAGGTCAAGAGATCGAGACCATCCTGGTCAACATGGTGAAACCCCGTCTCTACTAAAAATACAAAAAATTAGCTGGGCATGGTGGCACATGCCTGTAATCCCAGCTACTCAGGAGGCTGAGGCAGGAAAATTGCCTGAACCCAGGAGGCGGAGGTTGCGGTGAGCCGAGATCGTGCCATTGCACTCCAGCCTGGGTAACAAGAGCGAAACTCCGTCTCAAAAAAAAAAAAAAAAAAAAAAAGATAAATACCATTGATGGACAATTAGTAAGATTAAACCAGAAAAAAGAAAATCCAAATAACCACAATAAAAAATGAAATGGGAGATATTACAACTGACACCGCAGAAATACAAAAGATCATTCAAGGCTACTATGAACATCTTTAAGTATACTAACTAGAAAACCTAAAAGAAATCAATAAATTTCTAGAAAAATAAAACCCATTCAGCTTAAATCAGAAATGGATACACTGAACAGACCAATAACAAGTAGCGAGATTGAAATGGTAATTTAAAAATTACCAACAAGTGTTCTGCCTGCTTCTGGATGAGCAAAAAGACTCGTGGTCTATTTCTTGGCTGTCCCTAGCAGCATGGCCTCCCAAATGCCAGTGAGCACTCCCTCCTCAAAAGAAGAAACCAAGACCGCCTACTGCTCTGGTACCGGAGGAGACATTAGCCCCTTGCACGCTTGCCTAAGAAGGGAGGAAAAAAAACAGCAAGAAGCAATTGAACACATTGATGAAGTACGAAATAAAATAGACAGACTTAATGAACAAGTCAGTGAGGAGATTGTGAAAGCAGAACAGAAATACAAGAAATTCTGCCAACCAACCATTTTTCTCAGAGTAAGTCAGAATTGATCGCCATAATCATCAGAATTCATAGCCCTAAACACCTGTATCAAAAAAACTGAAAGAGCATGTGCCTCACCGAACTAGAAAAACAAGAACAAACCAAACCCAAACCCAGAAGAAAAAAAATCAAATCCCAAATTTTTGGGTAACAACATTTGTCAACCATCCACAAATGTCTGCACTGCTTGGGGAGAAGAATGAAGAGGCACTGTGTTATTTGACCAGAGTTGAAGTGACAGAATTTGAAGATATTAAATCAGGTTACAGAATAAATTTTTATTTTGATGGAAATCCTTACTTTGAAAATAAAGTTCTCTTCAAAGAATTTCATCTGAATGAAAAAATGGTGATCCATCTTCAAAGTCCACCAAAATTAAATGGAAATTTGGAAAGGATTTGATGAAATGTTCACGTTAAATGCAGAATAAAGCAAGCAGGAAATGGCAGCATGAGGAACCAGAGAGCTTCTTTACCTGGTTTACTGACCATTCTGATCCGAGTGATGATGAGTTAGGAGAGGTCATCAAAGTTGATATTTCGACAAATCCATCACAGTACTACTCTTCTTTCTCGATACGGATGATGGAGGAGGAGGAGAAAAAGATGTTGATAATAGTAGAGGAGGAAGGATTAGAGAATACTGATGAGAGAGGGGATGAGGATGACAGTGAAAAAGATGAAGATAATGATGGAAGGGAAGAAGGAAAGAAGGATAAAAAAGATGACGACTAATAAGAACACTGACAGATACCAACCTTCTCTACACCATGGTTCTCAACTTATTTTGGGTGAAATACCTTGAGCAGAATACAATGGGAAAAGAGTCTCTACCCTTTCTCTTCAAAATTTATTTATTTTTTATTTTTTATTTTTTTCCTTTTTTTGAGATGGAGTTTCGCTCATTACCCAGGCTGGAGTGCAATGGCGCGATCTCGGCTCACCGCAACCTCCACCTCCTGGGTTCAGGCAATTCTCCTGCCTCAGCCTCCTGAGTAGCTGGGATTACAGGCATGTGCCACCACGCCCAGCTAATTTTTTGTATTTTTAGTAGAGACGGGGTTTCACCATGTTGACCAGGATGGTCTCGATCTCTCGACCTCGTGATCCACCCACCTCGGCCTCCCAAAGTGCTGGGATTACAGGCTTGAGCCACTGCACCCGGCCTTTTTTCTGCTTTTTAAACAAGAAAGCAGAAAAAAAAAAACCATGTACAAAAAACACATAAAACATAACAATGAAAGTGGTATGTATGTAACTTTAAGAAATCAATTTAAACATAAATTTATTAAATTGTTATGAGATAAAAACATTAATCTTAAGATGTTTTACATAATGTCCATTTTTCAAGATAACTACAAAAATTTTGTAGAAACTATGCAAATAAACTGAAAGAATAAGCAAAGCATGCCACTATGAAATTTAAAAAGTCAGTTAAGAAAGCAGATTAGGCCGGGCGCGGTGGCTCAAGCCTGTAATCCCAGCACTTTGGGAGGCCGAGGCGGGTGGATCACGAGGTCGAGAGATCGAGGCCATCCTGGTCAACATGGTGAAACCCCGTCTCTACTAAAAATACAAAAAACTAGCTGGGCGTGGTGGCGCGTGCCTGTAATCCCAGCTACTTAGGAGGCTGAGGCAGGAGAATTGCCTGAGCCCGGGAGGCGGAGGTTGCGGTGAGCCGAGATCGCGCCATTGCACTCCAGCCTGGGTAACAAGAGCGAAACTCCGTCTCAAGAAAAAAAAAAAAAAAGAAAGCAGATTTAAAAAACCATGTACAAAAAACACATAAAACATAACAATGAATGTGGTATGTAACTTTAAGAAATCAATTTAAACATAAATTCATTAAACTACTTAACAAAAGGAAATGTAATTCCAGGACTTTGGGAGGCTAAGAGGGGCTAATTATTTGATTCCAGGAGTTTGAGACCAGCCTGGCCAACATAGCAAAACCCTTTTTCTATCAAAAAAAAAAAAGAAAAAAGAAAACCAAAAACAAAAAAACCTAGTTGGTTTTGTAATGGCATGGGCCTGTAACCCAGCTAGTTGAGAGGCTGAAATGAGAGGTTTATCTGAGTTTGAGAGGCTGAGGCTGCAGCTCACTGCCATAATCACGCCATTGTAAACCAGCCTGGTTGACAGAGTGAGGCTCTATTTTACTAATTTATTAATTAATTCAAAGGAAAAGAAATAAGATGCCTGAGTGGCTTAAGAAAAGAAGCATATAGTCTGTTCTCTACAAGAGAACAATTTTAGCAATAAGTGAAATAGGCTGTAAGTAATAGAATTTAAAAAAAATCTATATTTCATGCAAATAGCCACAATTGGATGAGGTAATCATAATTATATTGGACATAATATGCTTTAAGTCAAGTACTAGTATGAGGCAAAGATTGCTATTATGCAATAGTAAAATGGGTTAATTTACCAAGATCTGTAACTACTATATTTATTTGTACAGTTATGTATAACAACAGGGCTCCAAAATATATAAACATGGACAAAGGAGAAGCAAGAAATACATAGCAACATAATAGCTGGAGACACTGAGATCTCATTTTTAATAAATAATAAACAGAAAATTCATATAAAATAAGAAAATGGAAAATATAGATAACATTACAGATGGTATGATTTTGCATATAGAGAAATATCTGAGTAGATAATTCATAAAAAAATAATTTATATAAAAAAGATTTATTTAGCTCACAGTTTGGCAGACTGTAGAAGTTATGTGCCAGCATCTGTTTTTGGTTACAGTTTCAGGAAGCTTACAATTATAGTGGAAGATAGAGTAACTAGACATATCACAAAGCAAATGTGAGATAAAAGAGCCACGTTCCTTTAATATGGTTTTTCAAAACTATACAGATATCTGTGTGTCCCCAATGACAATGAAAAAGCAGTCAGATTGTACAGTCCCTTATATGGCATGAACACAACTTTGGCTCTCACTGTAAACTTGAAAGGAGATCACCAAAAAGAAAATAGAATCCTTAGGCCGAGCGCAGTGGCTCATACCTATAATCCCAGCACTTTGGGAGGCCGAGGTGGGTGGATCACGAGGTCAAGAGATCGAGACCATTCTGGTCAACATGGTGAAACCCTGTCTCTACTAAAAATACAAAAATTAGCTAGGCATGGTGGCGCACGCCTGTAGTCCCAGCTACTCGGGAGGCTGAGGCAGGAGAATTGCTTGAACCCAGGAGGCGGAGGTTGCACTCCAGCCTGGGTAACAACAGCAAAACTCCGTCTCAAAAAAAAAAAAAAAAAAAGAAAATAGAATCCTTAGAGAATTTTAAAGCATAAAACAGAGGATGCCCCTATGTGAAAGTCAAATTTTTAAAAAATCTCAGTCTTCCTAGAAACTACTTCCTTTGGAACATAGCTTCCCAGGTCACATTTTGAGAACTGATACTTTCTTGACTTCTGGATCTCTCATCTGTGTTGTCTGCTGTATTTGCTCTCACATACCTGGGGGTTTAGTTACCATCTCATGTCTCCTCATATTCCAAGGCTCTTTTCCTTGCTTCAGACAAGTTACCAAGTCTGGCTTAGAGACAGCAATACCTGTTTTATTAAAAATAAATAACATAAATATTGCTCACATTACTCAAATAATATGCTCATTAAAGAGAATATTCTAGTAAATTAATTCCCCAATAATTTATAACAAAAATTTCTAAATATTTAGAAAATATTTTAAATTTGTACAGGTCCTTAATTTTACTATCTAACACTACTGAATCAAAAATTGGTGGTGGCAATGAGATTTTAAGGTGTGGGCAACTATTTTCTATGCCACTAAACTTCTGAAATTTCCAATAATCTAGAGTTAAAAATACAGATCTGAAAAACACAGATCTACTCAGAAATGTGGAAAGTTCAGGTAAAAATAAAATATCTTTAAAAAATTTATATCTATACTTACAAATCCCTGTTTTCAGAAAAAAAATATCTGCAACTCATTTATGCTAAGCATAAATCACCAAAACACATTCTACAGAAAAGAGAAATGAAACCTATAGAATATAATAGAAATTGTTTAATTAAAATTATCCTTACCCAGGAAGATCAGGTTTCTGTAGTTCTCTAACATAACATCTCTATATAAATTCTGCTGAGTCTTGTCCAGGCATTGCCACTCCTCCAGAGAGAATTCTATGGCCACATCATTAAATGTCAACTGTCCCTGAAAAAAACACAACAAAAGACATACATATTTCCTGAGGGGCCATGGGCAGAATTTTTAATTTGACTAAATTTAAAATGGTTTTGGTTCTTATTTGGATTATATATGAAATGTGTGGGGAGTATTGGTGACAAAGGGATTTAGTTCCAAAATCCCAGGAATACTACAGACAGATGTGGTATATTTTCTGCTTTATGATTTCTTTTTTTTTTTTTTGAGACAGAGTGTCGCTCTTGTTACCCAGGCTGGAGTGCAATGGCACGATCTCGGCTCACCGCAACCTCCGCCTCCTGGGTTCAGGCAATTCTCCTGCCTCAGCCTCCTGAGTAGCTGGGATTACAGGCATGCGCCACCATGCCCAGCTAAGTTTTTGTATTTTTAGTAGAGACAGGGTTTCACCATGTTGACCAGGTTGGTCTCGATCTCTCGACCTTGTGATCCACCCAAAGTGCTGGGATTACAGGCTTGAGCCACCGCGCCCAGCTGATAATATCTTAAAGAGTGTTTTCCAACTTGGATTCATTCTTCCCATCACATTCAGGTACGCTGATCAAGCGTAGATTAGGTCTTGGAGGCTTTATTCTTTTTTTTCATTTTTTTTTTCTCTAATCTTGCCTTCTTGTTTTATTTCACTGATTTGATCTTCCTATCACTGATATCCTTTCTTCTGCTTGATTCAGCTGTTGAAACTTGTTTTCAACACAAGTTCTTGTGCTGTGTTTTTCAGCTCCCTCAAGTCGTTTATGTTCTTCTCCAAGCTGGTTATTCTAGTTAGCATTTCGTCTTTTTTCAAGGTTCTTAGTTTCTTTGCATTGGGCTAGAACATAATTTTTTAACTCAGAGAAGTTTTTTATTACACACCTTCTAAAGCCTGATTCTGTCAATTCATTAAAATTAATTCTGTCTTTTTTGTTCCCTTGATGGTGAGGAGTTGTGATCTGTGGGAGGAGAAGAGGTGTTCTGTTCTTTGATGGTTAAATCCTTTTTGCACTGCTTTTTTCCTGTCTTCATAGATTTATCTCCCTTTGATCTTTGAAGTTGGTGATTTCAGGAGGAGTCTCTGAGTGGACATTTTTTCTGTTGAGGTTGGAGCTATATCTTTTTTGGCCTGTAGAGGGCGTTGCTAGGCTCTCGGGTTGAGTCAGGTTGTTGGGTGGGTGGTTCTTTCCTGGAGTTTGTCTGCAGGTGAGATTGGCCCCACATTCCCAATGGCATCTCTCCCAGAGCTTGATCTTCCTGGTTGTCGTCAAACTGGTGTATTAAAAAACATCTGGAATAAAGTCTGAGTTTCAGAATTTCAGACAAACTCCCTAGTAACGCCTGTTTTAGGCCCAAAAAGAACTTTTCGTCAAACATTCAGCAAATGAAAGAGCCTGTGTTTTCCCCAGTTTTTCTGGCCTGTAAACAAAGATAAAGCCTTCATTTTTCAAAGATGGACATATGCAAATAAAATCTAAGAAAGGCAGGTGCCAGATTAAATGTGATTACTGAATTATATCAGCTGCATAGAGATACTTAACAATGAAGAGAAAAATGATTAACTCTATCGTGAAAATCTGTCAGCTTTTTTTTTTCCCAGAAAAATTACAGGTTTATTTAAACTTAATTCTCACCTTGAGTATGCAAAATACAAACT